GAGAACCCTAGGTGGCCTTTCGGACAACTAAATGATTCGAACCCCCTCCTCTCTGCCATACTCTGTTACCCCCTCGGTCCCCCATTTCCCAGACTCCGAGGTTTCAATCAGGCCTTACATAAAGCCTTTGGATAGAACCAATATAGAGCGAGAAATGCCATCCATGAGAACACACACCTGGTACTAACTGGACCGAACATATCTAAAGAATTGTTCAGGGGCGAATATGCGCACATGGTTTGGATGGTTTCTTGCTACCCTTCATTTGTGCCGGGTTGATTGTGACTCACAAGCACCTGGGCAGCCGTGGCTTGGTGCTGCTCGCATAAGCCGTGACTGGGCATCAGCTTCTCGCAAAACTATAGGGGTGTAAGGCTACCATTTGAAGGTGTGCCCTGAAAAGAAACGCCCAAATCAAACTATTTTCATTCAAGCAACACTCTCAAACGGTGGCCCAACAATAAGAAAACGACAGCCGAACCCAACAGCATGTCCACTTCAATGGGCCCTGGCAAAACAAGCTTACCCAGTCATCATCTTGATCGCCTGAGACCAAACACGGAAGCTCCCAGAGCCCTTTAAATTGGTCTTTCACTTTTTTAGGGCCTTATAATCCTTAGCCCTTTAAGGCTTTAAAGGGGTTCTTGGCCGCAGTCTTTCAGGGCCCTACCATGACTCAACCCGTGTCGCTCATCGCTTCAATCGGTGTTTCCATGTGGGGTGGCCTCCGTTTCCGCGAGGTGGGAAGAGCCAGCGCCGGCTTCGGCTTTGTCCTTTGCCGTGGCCACGCCGTCCTCGGAGCAGCTTGACAGCTGGGTCTTCGTAAAGGATCCCCTAAAGCAAAAAGCCACAGGTTGAACTGCCAGAGAGCCCGTCAAGGTGTTTGCCCTTTGTGTTGGGAGGCCAAACGGCAGAGTAGAGGAAATTGGGGGGGTCTATATATGCTAAACACAAGACAAGGGTGGCTTCCTTTGAAGCACCAACAGTTGCGGAAATGAGGGCCTCAAGTACACCTCCAAAAATGGGTCGGTTTCCTTCGAATCACAAACAAACGAACTCGTTTGAAAACTGCTGATTTCCTTTAACAGCTTCGCAGCTTATGCAGTGCCAAGACTCGAGCACTCTAACAGGGGCCAAGGCGCTTTGCGTGCTATATATGTGGGATTGCAACCCCATGTTTGAAAGAAACGGCCAAACCCGTCCCAACACCAATTGTAGCACCCCAACTGCTCAACCTCAAGACACGCCCGGCCTCAGCGGAGCCTGTGGAGGTTTCCGCTGAAAACTCCGCCTCTGGGAGATTGTCGATGTGGATCTCGTCGTCCAGGCACACAAAACTCACCTCAGTGCCCGCCAAGATTCTAGGGTGACTTCTCCATTCTTTCCAGGGATCCTTCTTTCTAGAAAACCACCAAAAATCCTGGAGAATCTCTAGTGTTTGAAAGGAACGATGGCTGAAAAGAATGGGGAATCAATCCCGTTTTGTCAGCCCCTCCGACAAACCCATCGCCACAAGCCAGGGAAACACTGGAGGCGCGTTTTGGGGAGGTGGTGCGTGCGCGTGCGCCTTGCCTCCAAATGGAACCCCAACTGCCACGATTTGACGACGCATGTCACGTGTGTTTCTTCCAAAACCTCCCTCCATGCTGAACTGTCCGCACAAACTAGCATACCGCGCCAATCTCAAAACAAGACATTTAACGCACACTTCATCAGTACCAGTGGATCCAATTGCCAGCATAGTGAGCAAACGGAATCTTTCTACCACTGGGTTTCCCTGATAGTTTCTTGGCAACTGGATTCATTGGCCTGGACGTTGCTATGAAACCCCGAGCTCTGATTTCCATGATTCGGACATGCTGCGTGCCACTTTCAGGGTGGTCTTGTGCCTAATAACGCAGGCACCAGACTCAACCGCCAAGCACCCAAAGCAAACGTCGATCCAGCCCACCGTAAACCTCCTGCCTAAAGCGTCTCAATACCAACGAAACAACCAACCAACATACCAACCAACCAACCAACCAACCAACCAAGAAAAAAAAGAAACAAAGAAACAAACAAAGAAACAAACAAAGAAACAAACAAACAAACAAACAAACAAACAAACAAAGAAAGAAAGAAAGAAAGAAACAAACAAACAAACAAACAAACAAACAAACCACCCAAACCAACCAGCCAACGCCCACCAGCCAGCCAACTAACCAGCCAACAAAACAACCAGCAAGCAAGCAAACAAGCAAGCACGCACGCAAGCACGCACGCAAGCACGCAAGCGAGCGAGCGAACAAGCAAGCATGCAAGCAAGCAAGCAAGCAAGCAAGCAAGCAAGCAAGCAAACAAGACACAAAAGAAAGAACAACACCAATGCCAACGCTCATATGAGACTCAACTTGCCAGTTCAGTTGCGGCCATGCCCGTGCGCGCGGGCACGCGGCCGAGCGGGCGCTCCCCAGAATCCAGGAGCCCATAGGCGAACTCCAGCTCGAAGCTTGAGTCCTGGCTGAAATTTGGATCTCCCTTCTCAGATCAAAAATGGGGGGGGTACGAAACCTGGGTGTTCGATTCGCCAAGTTCGTAAGTGGTTAGTAACCTGGGTTACTAACCTATACTTAAAACCACTTGTGGGACTTTTGAGTAGGTTCTAACCTACATTACTAGCCACTACCAATTCGGCGAAGCGAACTGCCAAGTAGGGAACAAAAATGGGGACCCCTACAAAAACCAATGCGACTTGGCATCAGGGTCAAGGATAGATCTTGAACCAACCAAACAATCCTTTGAACCAACTTCTCTCTAGTAGGTGGCTTGGAGCCGAATCGGTGGTTTAGTGGTGCCGATCCCTCAGGGGTTCAAATCCAAAGTGGAACCTGACTCGGTGCCGGAAAACAAGTTTCCTCTAACTGGGGACCCTGTTTTGTTTTACCCAACCTTTCGGCTTCCCTCTAGGGTGGTTTTGACTGATGGTTTGGTGGTGTTCCGGGGGTGGTTTCCCTTTTACCCTTTACACGACCCCGGAAACGCCCGCAGTTCAATTGCGCCCCGCCGGGTTCAAGCCATTTTGGCAGGTTCAAGCCACTGAGGCCATGGCGATGGGGTTCGTTCTCTCGCTTTGCCCCGGGCTCGCGGATTGCGTGGGGAGACAAGGATCCTCTTCTAGAAAAGCGAACCTTGAAGCACCTAGATGGGGTTCCTGGCAACCAAACCCACCGTTACAAGGATTGGGATCCTTTAAATCTGCTGGACCGGAGCAAGCATCGCTTTAGCTCGCGCAATCCGTCCTTGGTCACATCAAGCACATGCTACGTACTGTAAGGGCCTAGATAAGTAGAAAGGGGTGGTGGGGTACCTTTTAGTCATATTTCGTGATGATTCTAGTGGTAAACTCTTAGTCATTCATTTTCTTCTTGCTCACTTACCCAAAGGACCCAAAGGACCCAAACATATCATGACTAAACCATGGGCACCCAAATAGAGAAAACAAAAAGGTCAGATCCGGTCAATTTGCCTTGGGCAGGTGGGTTCAATCAACGGTGCGGTTTTGGGCGGAAAGGGCGTTGCCCAGGGAATCAAAAAGGGTTCACGTAATCCACGAAGAACCCAAAGAACCCGGACTCACGACTCAGTGGACTGAAGCCGGTGACCAGGTTGAAGGACGTGATGATTGAGGAAGAGGTGGTTGAAGTGAGGGTTAAACAGCAAGTTGCAAAAGATCACCTTAACCAGGCCCAGGCAAGTCCTGCCGCAGCACCACCTACCTCCTAGCACCAGCCCACCCCAGCGCCGAGAGTCCTTTCTCGGCGACGCAGCGAGATGCCGTGCTATGGCGAGTGCCGTGCTACCAAAACTAACCTGACGGGAGGTTAAACTTGAGCCAAACGGCCATTCGGCCGTTTTGCCACATGATGAAACAACACGTGAACAAAACACACCCCCCTCATCCGATATCTGGACGAGAGAAAGGATGCGAGACAGTTGAGTTCACGACGAAAGGGACCAGCCAAAAATGCCGGTGTCAACTCAGAGGTGAGCCAAACGGCATCACCTGGGCCCCAGTTAAAATCCCGCCACCACCCCGAATTATCGGGGCGACAGGATTATTTGACGAGTGGACCACATGAGTGAACAAAGACATATTGGAGGAACCAGACGAAGATTCCTCTCGTGCCGTTCATGAGTCGTCATGGGACGAAGCCATGCGGAGGGGGATCCTATCTGGATCACCGCGCCTCACTGCACGCCGTGAAGCGGTTGGAAGAGTAATCGAGTTGGGAGGAAATTAGAAACGGAAGCTCCAAATAAAAGGTGTGAAAAATATCCGGCTATGGCCGGCCCGGCACTTCTAGTGCGGTCACAGCCTCACACAGGATCGCCAGGGGAACCGTTTCCGGCGCGCACGGCAGCGGTGCGGGAGGGACACCAGCAACGCCGGATCAGCGGTACAGGGCAATGGAGATCATCACCCCCAGCAGCGCCGCACGGGCGAAAGGAGGACCGGCGCGGTCGCGTTTGTCGGCGACACACGTACTATCCTCGCCCTTCTAAGGCGGATGCCGATTACGGTACCCGTCTACCACCCTGAACCAGGCTCTTCCCGGTCCCTGGGCGCGTCGTCTCTCCGGCGTCCACCACGGTCACCTCGATCACCTCCTCCATCCCGACGGCGATCCTCTCCACCACCCCTATTGTGGTCACCAGCCGGAGGTCGGCGAGGCGGAGGGGGATCTGATTGGTGACGTCGGTCATCCCTGCGCCGGTCCCGGTGGCGATCGCGACGGTCATCACCCGGGTCATCACGTCCGCGGCGCTCATCTCGCCCCGGCCCGCGCCTCTCGGAGGTCTCCTCATGACGTGGAGGAGGTCGGCGATCATCGCGTCGGCCTCCGCGGGTATCCCTGCCACGATCATCCCTTTGTCGGGGCGGGCCAGGATCCTCGCGGCCACCTTTGCCAGGTCGATGTTTTCCTCGACCCTTCCCCTCACCCTTAGGACCACGACGATCCTCGCGGGCCCCAAGCGCGGTCCTTGACCGATCGTCATCTCGTCGGGGCCGCGACTCATCTGCCGCACGAGTGGTCCGAGGCACACCCGGGGGAAGCTCCCACTCGTCGTTGTCGTCATCACGCGGGTCATAGCCGCGATGGCCGCCCAAGGAACCGGTGGCATCCCGTGGTGGGGACGCAGGAGTTCCGGGACCGCCCGATCGAAGACGAACTCGGGGAGTCGCGTCCTCGCCGGTAAAAGGATCCTTCTGGGTGTAGAAACCCTTGGTCCTGCCCCTTCTCTCCCCCCCTTCCACACCGCTTCTCGCGGGGACCGGGGATGGACGGGCAGGCTGGGCCATGCTCTTAGAGCTGGGTTGCCCGCTAGGCGGGACCTGAACGCCCCCCTGCCCTTTTTCGGGCGCGGGGACCCGACCACGAGATGTCCTCCTGGCCTTGGGTTGGTCGGACTCACCCTCCAGCTCGGACTCGGTGTCAGGGACACGAGTATTGATGGCCATGTCCTCTTCCTCAAACGGATCCCCAGTCGTTGTAACGCCTGCCGCAATGGGAGCGGGAGGAGGAGGAGGAGGGGTTGGCACAGCATCGCCAGAACTGACGCCTGCATGCGACACCACGGGAGTCTCCGGTTCTACCGGGACAGGCGGCGCAGGAGGAGCCGGGGGCGGTGGCGGAGGGGGAGGGATCTCCTCCTCGTCGTCGCCCATGGGCTCGTCAAGGTCGTCAGGCTTCTCGTCATCTTCGTGCGAAGAACCATCCGATCCCAGCTCATCCTCCGCTGATCCAGCAAAGTCGGGCTCGTCTTCGTCCTTCACGCCGGGGCCTGGTGTAAGGCGAATTCCGGGTCGATGGCGATCGCGGGGTCGGAAGCGGTATTTCCTTGGTACAGGGTCGGATAGCTCCTGTTTGATGTCATCCTGGGTTTGAGGACGGTCGGCCAAGCAGGTGTCGTAGGCAACGGTGGACGTCCGGTAGATCAGATCGTCCATACTGCTGAGGTCGTTGAGGGTGTAGACATACCCCTTCTTAATGCCTTCCCGTATCGTGTCCATAGCCCGTTTGAGGCGCGCGGCAGGATCGAATCCGGCCCTTCTCCGCATGGCCTGCAATATCCCGCAGTGCTGTGCGAGCAGCCCCACCTGGAACTTGAATCCCTCCCCGGACACATCGTTGGGGAGTATCGGAGAAAGGTGTCCTGTTCTCAGCCCAATGATATGGGCCTCAAGAATGTAGTAGGACGTGTAAAAACCGCACCGGTTGGCGTTGAAGTTTGCGGTGGTTAGGCGTCTGCCCCACTCAGCCGCATATCCCTCATATTCTTCGAAGAATTCGGGGACGGAGCTCCCGTTGAAGGCCAGACCCCTTACCAGGATCGCCTTTGCTACCCACTCTTCCACGTTGTTGTCGACCGTGTCACGGTATTTGCCGTCAAGGACTTCGTCTCGGAGCGAGTCGTGAAGTTTCCGGAAAATACCATCCACGTCCTCTTTGTCAAGGTACTTAGGAGGCCGCATCCCAGACATCAACAAGGACCGGGCATCGACGGCGGGACTCTGCGAGTAGAGGGCCATTCCGATGGCGTTGGCGTCTGAGTTGTTCCACAGAGCGGGGACGAAGCCCTCGTATTTTGCCAGCCAGGGAGGAATCAACCCGTCAGTGCTTGCTATCGTGCGAGGGCCGCCGTTCGTGTCTCCGGTGGGCAGGACGCCATCGTAGAAGATGGGAAGGTAGCAGGCGGTGCACAGGTGAGCGCCGACCGGATGGGCCGTCATGCACCTATGGCATGGAACGGACACCACCTCGCGGACATGTTCCGTCTTGGTGATCTGATGGTACTTCTCCATCTCGTCCCGACACTTCCTCGGGTTATCACTCAAGGAGTTGAGGAAGTTGGGCGGATAGCACCAAGGCCTCAGGTAAATGATGGAGCAGTCCTCCTTGAAGTAGACGCATCTCCAGTACCCGATCGCGATGTTCACGCGCGATGCAAAGGTACCCTGACGAGTAATATGCATGCCCCCATTTTCCATGGAGAAGAAACGTGCATCGATAGCCATGACCACATATCGGGGATCGCTCCTTTGGCGTCGACCCGAGGTGTGCAGCTCCGTCACGTTGCTGTCGGTGATGCGGTCGACAGTGTCGTTGGGGCACTCTCCGTGATCGCGGAGGGATTGATACTCATCCGGCCGAGAGGGAAGGAGCTCGATCAGAGCTCGCCCACCCCGAATGATCGCCCCACGTTCTACGTAGAGCCGATACATTCGGAGAGGCACCACCTTGTAGAGCGTCTTAGGAACCACCTTGGAGGTGATAGGAAGACAAACAGGGCTCTCGTAGAGCATGTATTGGTATCGTTCACGAAATGCCCGGTAATCAGTGTCGGATCCGATCTCAAGCGACCTTACCGCCGCTATGCGGGCGGAACCAGGCAGCAACCGACGCTCCTTGTCACGAATGACGGTGATGATGATCTCAAATATTCCCACCCCATCCTCGA